AGAGGTTCATACACAAAGAAATACATCATATTCATTAACAGCTATATATGTATAGTGGTCAGATTCATGTGGGTAATGTCACTGTTCACTGCCATGCAGGACAGAGGTTCGTACACAAAGAGATGCATCATATTCATTGACAGTACATACACATATATATATATATATATATATATACACACATACACATATATATATATATATATATATATATATATATATATATATATATATATATATATATATATATATATATATATATATATATATATATATATATACACACACACACACACACACACACACACACACACACACACACATACATATATAGGTCAGATTCATGTGGGTAATGTCACTCTTCACTGCCATACAGGACAGAGGTTCGTACACAAAGAATGCATCATATTCATTGACACTATATATAGGTCAGATTCATGTGGGTAATGCCACTGTTCACTGCCATGCAGGACAGAGGTTCGTACACAAAGAAGGAAATACATCATATTCATTAGCAGTATATATAGGTCAGTGGTTCACATACATTGGAGTCATATTCTAATTGAAGACTAATCAGTGTGGGCTAGCAAATTTGGGATAAACAGCAAGAATGTCCTCAAGCACCCCTGATTCAATGTAGTAATTACATAGTTCAAGATACAATAAGTCAGGTGGCCTGAAGTCTTTGACAGTGTCACATTCAATAATATAGTGTTCAAGTGTATGCTTTAGAGGTTTATCATAAAGTTTACATGCTGAGTGTTCAGGTATGGGTACAGCGTTACTAACTTGCCAGATGTGTCTGTATCCTAACCTAATTCTGGCCACGACTACATCACATTGTCTGGTTCTGTCCTTATGCTAATAGGGATGGAGGAGAAATCACCTTTCAGGGGACCCATGCTTGATGCCGTCATTTCACCAATAAAATTTTAATTTCACTAGGTGTAATTCAAGATTATTTTCTTTAAATCAACACTGCACTGCTCTATATATTATTAATATGTTAAATAAATTTCAGAATGACCAATAATTTTTATGTAAAAATACAAAATTATTCAAGACACCAGCAAAATCGATGTTCACTCCACTGTCAACAAAGCCCAACTAACGCCTGGTGGCTGAGTCAAGCGTCTGATGGGAGCACAAAAAACTAGTTCCCTGTACTGCATATATTATCAATATGTTAAATAAATTTTAAAATGACTAATAATTTTAATATAAAAAATGCAAAAAATATTAAAGAGCACAACTTTCTTGATATTTATTCCACTGGAAATGAATGTAAACATAGAACAGATTACTGAATTGGCAGATTTGCCCATCAGCTGATCATGCTCACAACAAAACGTGATGTTCGTAAGGATTTCGTCAATCGAAGTTCTGTTCGTCAACCGAAATGAAGATCCTTATGGGAGGTAATTAGTTAATCGAGGGACCATTGTATTCTACTTTTGTATAAATTTGTTAATGCTGTCAATTAAATTTAAGCGCTATGATTTACTAAAATATTGACAACATTGAAACAATATGAATAATTGTCCTAACATACAATATTATAAATGTAAACAAATAATTTATACGAAAGCATTTGTTGAACTGATAGAGTATAGTAGTACAGGTATCATAAGGAATAACTACCCAATTCTCTTGGAAGGCACAGACCGTAACATATTCTACTTTTTTTTAATTCTACAATGAACTACAGTACTGTATATTATGTTGTTTTGTTTGGTTTCTTGCTTGTGATTTCTTGCTATTTGTAATTAAATTATATTTAATAACTTCCACCCCTAAATTTACTTGAAATTTACCCAGAATTGTTTATCTGAAAAATGCTACAGAATTTAGTTTCAGAGGGAGGGGCATAGGGTAGTGACCATTTTTCTAAAACTGAGAATATTCACAAATTCTACATACTCTTGGTCTTAACAGTGCTGCATTTCAAAGATAGTGGGGTGTGAATTAATATCTGATAACAAGGAAGGGCATCCAAGTGAACTGTAGATTAGACTATTGGAATTCATTTGGAAAATTCTAATGGAAACTGGACTCCTGGGTGTGAGTTGGTGTTGGTGGAAAATTAGAAGAAAGGCAATTGCACTGTACTATACTGTATTTTCAGTTAAATTATATTAGTTGTATTACAAGTTCTTGTTTTAGATATATTGGTGATCAGTTTTTCATGATTATTCTAAATATGCAGGGTTTCAAAAAGTTGGCTTATGGAGTTGTGGGTACTTTATGGAAGAAATGCTGGAACCAATAATGTAAAAGTATTTAAGATAAAGGAATATCTCTGCATTTGACAGTGCTGAAAAGTTGAAAAAACAAACAGAAAGGTGTATGAAAAATAGTGATTGTAAGAAGAATATTTGCTCAACCGAGTTCAAGTCTTTACTGCATCAAACCTATGACTCATAAGAGTAATGAAGCCTTACATTATCTCCAGGGAAGCCTGAGAAAGTTGGGCTTTACTGTATTATTAATGTGCTTATAAAGACAGTATAGGATGTAAGATATGAAAGATGTTTTGTTGAATTATCAGTATGTGTACAGTGTAGTATAGAGAAAGAAATAATGACATTATTTTCCTAACAGAGAACCATTGAATGGCATTTGTAAGATGGATGTCAGCTGTGATGAAATCATTGCTAAAACTATTATTTTAGTAGTTGTGAAATTTTGTATTGAAAATATAACCTTTACAGTTATTATATTCATTAACAATTCAACTGAAAATTTATATTTACTGGTAGTTTTAATGAAATTAAATGTTTAGAATGGAGTTTATGGCAACTGAGTGTCACTGAGGATTACTTGTGCTGGGGTCTGCATATACAGGCTTCCAAGGAACAAACAGTTGTGTTGTAAATTTACAGGTGCACTTATTTATCATAAACACAGGACCCCCCTCACATATCTAGCTGTAAATAGGTAAGACTTGAATATTAAAATAAGTTGACTCTGTTGTCTGTCTGTATGCAGCAAAAATTAGTATTTTAATCTCAGAAATATTCATGTGTTTTTCTTCTAAAATTTGTTGTGTATTTTTTTTATTTTTTTATTTATTTATTTATTTTTTTGCGGGAATTAGCACGGGCACAGGGCAAACAATCCACAAGAGGCCTGGAGGGCGAAAAAATAAGAACAGAAAGAAATTGAAATTAGAGAAGGAAAAGGTTATACTGTGTTAATCTACACCACGAAGATGCTGGAAAACCAGCTATTTAAAGTGAGACAGATTGTATAAATATGGAAACACAGAAGAAGGCAGAGCATTCCACAGTTTGGCTGCGTGAGGAAAGGAGGTGGTACTATAAGGGGTTATTCTCGTGGGCGATATCCGCAGTGGGCACATGAACATGGAAGCGTGTGCTATGAGCCCATGGCCTTGCTGGTGGAACACAGGATGCCAAATCCACTGAACAGTGCCCGTTAAAGTACCTGTAAATGAGAGAGTGAAGCAACATTGCGGCGAAGAAAGGGATGAGATTGTGCGACTAAGGAGAAAGAGTTAATAAGACGAAATGCCTTTGATTTCACTATCTAACAGTTAGACAGAAGAAGAGCCACCCAGATATGAGAGCAGTACTCCAAGTTAGGACGAATGAATCCCTTATATACTTGGAGCAACTGCTCAGGAGTGAAGTAACTACGACATCTGTACAGCATTCCCAACTTTAGGAGGCAGTTTTACCTATATTAAAGATGTTTAATGTCCAGGACATACTGGAGGAAATAGGTGAGGCCCAGCATATTTATTTCAGAATTTGGCAGAATGATAGCGTCCTAAAATGTAATTTGTGGGAGATCATCTACTTTAGAAAGTTGTGATTAGTAATTGGTAAATACTGAGTTTTATTACTATTGAATTTAACCAAGTTTGTACCTCCCCATTCAGAGATGCTGCACAGATCCGCATTGATAGAAGTAATGATATCAGCTCTAGAAACAGATCTAGTTTGAGATTTAGGAGGAAGGGTTAAAATGTGAATAAGAGTGAAGAGTAGAGTCATCAGCGTAAGAATGGATAGAATTAGTTGTAGTGTGAAATAAATCATTGATAAAAAGAAGGAAGAGAGTAGGTGAAAGAACAGAACCCTGTGGGACACCAATATTGGTAGAGAAGAAGCGAGAAATTGATCCCTTGACAACAACTGCCATGGATCGGTTCTCAAGGAAGCTAAAGATTAGAAAACAAAGTGGGGGAGAGAAGTTTACAAAGCAAAGACTTGTGCCATACCCTGTCAAATGCTTTGGAGATGTCGAGGACCACGATCTAACCTAACCTAACCTGGGTTATTCTGATTCATTTTATTGACAATAAATTATTGCATAATGTAACAATATCTGATTTGGTACTTCAGAAGTTCTCATTCTTGCTGAATGTTAACAAAGGCACTCTTGATATTTCACTAATTGAATATAAGATTACCTTTTCCTTCTTCCATCCTTCACTCTTCAGTATGTCAAAACATCTCCAGTTTTCATTTCTTTTCTGTGCTGTTCTCCTGGCCGTTTTATCTCTGACTTTCCTGTGTTGTCTATTTTTCTTTCTTACATTACAGTATATCTAAGATTTCATTCTCTTCATTTAGATACTGTATGTAGTAATGTTCAAAGTGCCATATCTTATTTTTGTGTATCCTTGTCTGTAATGGCTTATGGGGTTTTACAAGTCCTTCAAGTTTCTGAGGCTAATCCTTGAGTAATATAATTAATAGTTATTATCTTATTTATAGTTTTTGTCTTAATAGTTATTGTGTCTGGTTGGGGTGAAGCTCTTACTAATTATCTTTTCTTAATTTTCAGGATATTTTAACTACAGTATTTGGCATCATATTCACTTGTGTTGTGAATATGTGTATCAAAAAGAAAATATTTCTCATACCACTCAACTTCTTTCAGGGATACTAATTGAGGAGAAATGCTGGAATACAACCATAGATAGATAGATATTTACACATAGTTCTAATAGTGCATTATTGTTTTCACAGGATACTGTTAATATTCTGAGGGCTGAGGGCTTCCACATGCCTACTGTTAGTGAGAGTGATGCTATGTTCACGGCTGACCGTGCACCTGATTGGGCAGATGGAGAATGTTGCCACCGCTGTCGCTCACAGTTCACAATGATCCGAAGAAAGGTGAGGATATAGTCTTAGAACTGATACTGTATATGAATATTGTACAGTAAAGACTGGGTGGATTAGAGTTAAGTTTCTGTACTTTTTTCAGTAAACCAGGTCATAGCTGACTTCCTTAATATACAGTACTGTACAGAACTTAAAGGTCAAATTAGATTTGATTCCACAATGGTCAGTGCATTCATGTGTGGTTTAGGATAATATAAATGTTCTGCTTGAAAGCCTTAGGCCTGTTTTCGACCAATGAGAAAGCCTATGAGGCGTGACGTCATGAAAGTTGTGGCGCCCTGTGAAGGGTGACGCCGTTTGAAAGGCGGAGTCTGCGTTGGGTAAGAGTTAAGTGTGGTTGTGTCTTGAGTGTCACCTCCTCATATGAGGGGAGGGAAGGGTGGTATAGCTTCTGCATGTGGGAGCTGCCTCAGGGTCACACTGTGTGTGTGTGTGTGTGTGTGTGTGTGTGTGTGTGTGTGTGTGTGTGTGTGTGTGTGTGTGTGTGTGTGTGTGTGTGTGTGTGTGTGTGTGTGTGTGTGTGTGTGTGTGTGTGTGTGTGTGTGTGTGTGTGTGTGTGTGTGTGTGTGTGTGTGTGTGTGTGTGTGTGTGTGTGTGTGTGTGTGTGTGTGTGTGTGTGTGTGTGTGTGTGTGTGTGTGTGTGTGTGTGTGTGTGTGTGTGTGTGTGTGTGTGTGTGTGTGTGTGTGTGTGTGTGTGTGTGTGTGTGTGTGTGTGTGTGTGTGTGTGTGTGTGTGTGTGTGTGTGTGTGTGTGTGTGTGTGTGTGTGTGTGTGTGTGTGTGTGTGTGTGTGTGTGTGTGTGTGTGTGTGTGTGTGTGTGTGTGTGTGTGTGTGTGTGTGTGTGTGTGTGTGTGTGTGTGTGTGTGTGTGTGTGTGTGTGTGTGTGTGTGTGTGTGTGTGTGTGTGTGTGTGTGTGTGTGTGTGTGTGTGTGTGTGTGTGTGTGTGTGTGTGTGTGTGTGTGTGTGTGTGTGTGTGTGTGTGTGTGTGTGTGTGTGTGTGTGTGTGTGTGTGTGTGTGTGTGTGTGTGTGTGTGTGTGTGTGTGTGTGTGTGTGTGTGTGTGTGTGTGTGTGTGTGTGTGTGTGTGTGTGTGTGTGTGTGTGTGTGTGTGTGTGTGTGTGTGTGTGTGTGTGTGTGTGTGTGTGTGTGTGTGTGTGTGTGTGTGTGTGTGTGTGTGTGTGTGTGTGTGTGTGTGTGTGTGTGTGTGTGTGTGTGTGTGTGTGTGTGTGTGTGTGTGTGTGTGTGTGTGTGTGTGTGTGTGTGTGTGTGTGTGTGTGTGTGTGTGTGTGTGTGTGTGTGTGTGTGTGTGTGTGTGTGTGTGTGTGTGTGTGTGTGTGTGTGTGTGTGTGTGTGTGTGTGTGTGTGTGTGTGTGTGTGTGTGTGTGTGTGTGTGTGTGTGTGTGTGTGTGTGTGTGTGTGTGTGTGTGTGTGTGTGTGTGTGTGTGTGTGTGTGTGTGTGTGTGTGTGTGTGTGTGTGTGTGTGTGTGTGTGTGTGTGTGTGTGTGTGTGTGTGTGTGTGTGTGTGTGTGTGTGTGTGTGTGTTACGGTTTATTAATAGAGTTGCAGCCGGTGGCTGAAAATATACAGACTTACATTTGATTTAGACATAATGATATAATATGCATTGAATACATTTACAGGGCTGTACAGTACATAAATCAGGAGCTGTTTATTATTTTAACAATAGATGGGATGGTGCTGTTCTTATATCTATCGGTGTGGGCTCTTATGGGCTGTATTTTGTTGTAGTGGCGGACTGCGCGAGTTGGGTGGGGGGCTGGAGGTGGCGATGGCGAGGGTGGTGCAGTAGTCCACGGCCAAACCTTTCCAGTGCTTGGTGGTGGAGGTCACTGAGGGATGGCATTTCCAGGGTGGAGAGAGCATTGGTGTAGCCGGAGTATTCTGCGCCGAGCATGATTCTGCAGGCCCTTTTCTGTACCTTCTCTAGCTGACGTTGTTGGGTGGAGTTGAGAGACGACGACCAGGCTGGTGACGCATACGTTAGTTTGGGGAGAATAAAGGCGTTGTAGATGGTTCTCAGCTCTGGCGTGGGTGTCCCAAGTGACCTAAGTCTTCGTAGCATGCAGAGGCGGTACGAGGCTGCCTTGACTGTGTTATTTACATGGGCCTTCCAGTCAAGTTTGTTGTCTATAGTTACACCCAGGAGCTTGGCAGACTGCACCAGCTGGAGAGGATGGGCACCCACTGTGACTGCTGGGGCTTGCACTGGAGTGGTGGCGGTATTGATGTGCATGACTACGGTTTTGGTGTGGTTGATGGTGACCTTGTTCTCCGTAGTCCATGCCTGTAGCCTGTCCAGGGTGCCTTGGAGCGATGAGTAGTCTGGTGCGGTGTTGTCCACTGAAACCCCCACAGTGCAGTCATCCACGTACTTCCACATTATGTGTGTGTGTGTGTGTGGTGATGATGATAATAATAATAATAATAATAATAATAATAATTAACTGTTTATTGAAAAAATTCTGCAGCCCGAAGGCTGATAATATACATTGGACATAAATGACTTATTACATACATTGGTAGTTTAACAAAAGCCTTCATTAGAGAAAGGTAAAGGAACATACAGTGAACATACAGATTAATGTAGGTGTTGAACAGCAAACTCGTAATGTAGTAACTCCCTCCCAGATGGTGTTAGGAGGAACTCACGTGGTGTAGTAGTTCCCTCAGATGTTGTTATGAGGGACCTGGCGTGGTGTAGTAATTCCCTCGCTGATGGTGTTATGAGGGGCCTCACGTGGTGCAGTAATTCCCTCACAGATGGTGTTATGAGGGACCTCACGTGGTGTAGTAATTACCTCACAGATGGTGTTATGAGGGACCTCACGTGTTGTCGTAATTACCTCACAGATGGTGTTATGAGGGGCCTCACGTGGTGTAGTAACTCCCTCACAGATGGTGTTATGAGGGGCATCACGTGGTGTAGTAATTCCCTCACAGATGGTGTTATGAGGGGCCTGACGTGGTGTAGTAATTTCCTCACAGATGGTGTTATGAGGGACCTCACATAGTGTAGTAATTCCCTCACAGATGGTGTTATGAGGGACTTGACGTGGTGTAGTAATTCCCTCACATATGGTGTTATGAGGGACATGTGGTGTGTGTGTGTGTGTGTGTGTTCCTTCCTTCTTAGTGCAGTAATGAAATACTGTATTGTAAAGTTTAAAAAACAAACCTATTTTATAGCATGTTAGGTAGAAAGTAGTAATATACCTATTGCTCAGTGGTGCTGGGTGAAAGTTGTAACACTGATATTGGATATTGACACAGTTTATATACTGTAGCCAGAAAAATACCGATACAGAGTCAATAATAATAACAATATTTTTTTATATTTAACATTGACATGGCTGAGCCAGTTGAGAGCCTGAGTTCACTTGAAGGCACCTGATATATACGGTACATTTATCTCAAGGAAGTATTATGTAACATTTAATATGAAATGGAATAGTACATGTAACATTGTGTTATTAAGAAAATATCAGAATGTTACCACAGTTTTCACTAAGTTATTTAGTAATTTTTATTTTTTGTAAAAAAAATTTATTTCTGCATATTTATTATAAGTATATACATATTTTATAGTGGAGTTGATATACATTAATATGATAAGGGGGGGGGGAAGCAGTACAACATGGGTTGTATTAAGGTGAAACAAGAGGACAGAAGCTGTCAGTATCATGTCGTGTCGGCAAATATAATTATTGCAATGGTAATTTCTATCTATCTACATAATAATTTATAATATAATGGTTTTGGGGGTACAGTAAAAGCAGGATTATAAAGTAGGTATTACAAAAATATTAATACTTAGACAATAGATATTTTTTTAGAGATGATTTAAAGGAAGGGAGTGTAGTCATTGCTCAAATTGGTGGGGGTAAGTTGTTCCACTCCTTCACACCATGATATTTTATGGAGGCCTGGAACTGAAAGGAGTGCATAGTGGGTGGTCTTATTAGCTCTGGGTGTCTTAAGTTGGATCTGATTATTCTGGAACTGGAAAGTGATTGATAGATTTGTAAACAAATAGGGCACAGCAGTAGGTGTTAATATCCTCAAATTTTAACATTTTCGATTTAGCAAATTGTTCGTTAGTGTGATCAATTTTTTTAAATAGGTCATTGTGAGCACAACTCTTCTGTACAGTAATCAAGGATTGTGTTTTTGTCGAGCCAGAGGCTTGTAATGGCCCCTTTCTCATCAACAGAAGTATTATATAAATGGGTTATTTACATCTGATTTATATTCAGATTCATCCCCTGTAACTTTCCACTATCTGTGAGGACATGAACTGAACACGTGAACAGTCGCTTTCCCAAGAGGGAGAAGCCCATATGTCAGCATCTATGTAAGCGCGCACCAAGGCGACGCCTTCAGGCAGTCACTCACACCAATTAATATCGAACGGACGTTGATTCACGTTTATATACATAAACTCCGTCCCTTTCTCATCACACTCATAAATAGTGGAACTTACGGTTGATCTACACTCAGGAATTCTATAAACATAATACTCTTCAAATAAAACAAGAAACTTCAAAAACCTTTTTTACTGCCAATATCAAAAGCAACATAGCAGAAGTAATCTTCGCCTACTTCGTGTTTAAAAACACATCTTCTTAGCAATGTGCAACTTTTGCTACTGTAATCACGCTAGATGAATGAGTGTGTGGTGCTTAAGACTCTTTCAACGAAACAATCATTTTTGCGGAGAGCAATGGTACTGAGTTGTGAAGGGTTCAACACGGCATGGCTGAAAATTTAGAGTCTGTGATACTTTTGTAGAACTATCATACAGTCAACCCTCTCTTTACGTGGTCCCACATTCCGCGTTTCCACGTTTACGCGGTACCCTGCCGAAACCGGAATGCTCACATTCCGCGGTGCGTGTACCCCTTTACGCGGAGAGTGTCCGGCTCGACGCTATTTTTAGATTCGCCCCTCCAACCTGCTCCCGCCTCCGCCTCCG